ATGAAAGCGGGCTTCAACCTGTCAACAGATATATTCACAGGCCGATCACCAACCAAAATTGTATAAAATTTAGGAAAACGTTTCTTTATCTCGAATGGACCATCGTATGGTGGTGTAAATGAATAACGTACTTTGTCCACACGAATAAAAACATGCGTCGCATCATTTAATCTACTATTAATGAACGGTTTTTTAATTGAGTGATGAGCTGTGTCTGCAGGACGGACGGATTTCATCAGTTCAATAAATTCCTTTACGAATTCATCTTGTGGCTTGAAAAGGCTATCAATAAACATCTCGCCGGGTAGTCTAAGTACAGTGCCGTAAACCATTTGCGAAGGACTGGATCCGATATCTAGCTTGAATGTTGATCTTAAGCCCAAAAGTACAATCGGTAAATGCTCAGTCCATTTAAGAGTATCAAAACACATTAGCGATGCTTTTAAAGTTCTATGCCAACGTTCAATAATGCCATTAGATTGAGGGTGGTAAGCGGTAGTCCGAAGGTGATCAATTCCGAGTATCCGTGAAAGTTCATTAAAAAGATTTGAATTGAACTGTCCTCCTTGGTCGGTAGTTAAACGGATAGGCACTCCAAAACGTGAAATTCAAGCACTGATTAATGCTTGTGCGACAGTTTTTGCGTTAATATCTGTGATAGGAATTGCCTCAGGCCATCTAGTATAGCGATCAATGATTGTAAGGCAATATCGAAATCCATTTGATGGTGGAAGCGGACCAATAAGATCTATGTTAATATGCTCAAATCGCTGTGATGGCAAACAATATTTACCAAAGGACGATATTGAATGTCTACTAACCTTAGATCGTTGACATTGAATACAGTTTGTGACAAGCCTTGCAATATCTCTTTGCATGTATGGCCATACAAAACGTTGTCGAACAGTGTTGAAAGTTGATCTAGCACTTGTATGCGCAATTTTGCGAAATTTCAATATCACATTGTTCCTGAATGACTTTGGTACAAAAGGTCGAGCGTACTGTGTTGAAAAATCGCATACAATTGGTTTTGAGCAATCTGGAAGTTGAATGGATTTCAACTTTAGAGAGGTTGTGGAGGAGTTAAGATAATCCTGTAATTCTGGACAACTTCGTTGAGCATCCGCAATATGTTCAAAATTAATAACGTTATTGTTTGATTTTAAAGAGTCAATGCGAGATAAAGTATCTGCAGTTATATTTTTTTCTCCAGGTATAAATATGAACGATGCGAGTAGAAAACTGTCCGATAAAATCGAGATATCTAATTTGACGTGGAGACGAAGAGTCGTTATTTTTAGTGTAAGCATATGTTAGAGGTTTGTGATCGGTCCATATAACAAAATCTCTACCTTCTACTGCGAAACGAAAATACTTGATGCCAAGGTAAATGGCAAGCAGCTCACGATCATAGGTGCTATACTTTTTCTGGGCGTTAGAAAGTTTCTTTGAAAAAAGCTGAGGTAGCCCATCATTAAGTTGATGTAGAACAGCACCCACAGCTATATCACTTGCATCGGTACAAAAACAATTTCCGCATTGAACTTGGGATGTGCCAAAAGAGTTGAATGAATAAGTGCTTCTTTGCAAGCTTCAAAGTGTTTAATGGTTTCCGAACTCCATTTGATTGGGGTCCTGTCCTTCTTTTTGTTGCCCTTAATTAGATTAATAAGAGGTTGTTGATGGTCAATAGCGCGTGGAATAAATCTTCTATAAAAGTTTATCATATTTAAAAATCTCTTAAGCTCCAGAGCAATTGTAGGAAGTGGATAATTTTTGATGACTTCAATTTTCTGTGGGCAAGGACGAATGCCTTCCGCTGAGATGAAATGCCCTAGAAAAATTAATTCATTTTTTCCAAACTCACATTTGGATGGATTAAGTGTTAGCTGGAATTTTCGAAGCCGTTCGAAAACTTGTTGAAGATGTTTGATATGCTGAGCAGGCGATGCAAATGCGATGCAGATATCATCAAGGTATGAAAACGTGAAGTCCAAATCACGCAATACTTCGTTCATAAAACGCTGGAAAGTTTGAGCAGCATTACAGAGCCCGAACGTCATATGAGTAAACTCAAAAAGACCAAATGGCGTAATTATCGCTGTCTTCGGAATATCTTGTTCACGGATGGGTATTTGATTATACGCCCTATTCAAATCTATTTTGCTGAAAATAGACTTGCCGTACATAATATTGCTGAAGTCCTGGATATGTGGAAGTGGATACTTGCCAAAAGAATTGAGAAAATCTGCATCTGATGTTGTGGTTTGTTTGTGCGATAACAAATTTCCATTCGAAATTTGTTTCCAAAAGTTGAAATGGCGGTGTTATTCGCTGCGTAAATTTCAGATGAGGACTTCTTTACATGTGAAATTTGAAAGGAAGATGCACTGACTACGGAAACGTCAGCTCCAGTATCAATTAAAAAAGTATGTCCTGAAGATCGATCCTTAATGAAAAGGCGAATAGATGAAGAGGGCAGATCGTTGACATTATTGTCGAATAAATGCTGTGCTGTTTCGTTTTTGGCGACGTTTGAGGTGGACATCGCCGACCTATTTAGTTTTTTGAACTAAATGAGCATGGTGTTTTGCACCGAGTTGCGTTTCCTCCAAATTTGGCATGATACCAGCAAACTTTGGATTCATCTTCTTTGGAGAATGAATTTGATATTCCACGAGTGTAAGATTGAGCTTGATTGCTAGCGAACTTTCTTTTAAAACTGTTTTCCAAACGAGAAATTGAGTTCTCAATCTTGGAAATACGCTCCGATAAGGATTTGCTGTTGTCTCGAATGGCACTGATGTTGGAAGAGGTAGACTGAAAATCGACAGCAACCACTTCATTCTTTTTAATATTGTCATTAATTTCGTCAGCTACAAGAGCAAGATCTTCCACAGACATCATGGGACTACTCTTGGCGACACCAGCTACGACTGCTCGCGCAGCAGTAGGTAAACGTTGCAACCAAAAATCTTTGATGATTTGTTGGTCTCTGGTCACATTTGTGCGTTGAAGCTGGGTTAACATGTGGCTGGGTTTGTTATCCCCCAGTTGAATACCTGATACCAATTGCTCCAAACGTGCGACGGACGATGACGAAAATTTTGCGACAATTGTTTCCTTGAGAGTTTTGAATTTTTCGAATGTGGGAGGGTTAGTTATAACATCATACGCCTGGTCATACAAGCGCTCATCCAAATTGATGATTGTGATGTGAAATATTTCATCGTCTTGCTGTACTGATGGCAAGGCATCGATTCCTTGAAGCATGAAGAAGGATTCCAAACGACGAAACCAGGATTCCACAATATTCACTTCATAGCCTTGCAATTTAGGAACCTGAACGCGAGTCGCAAAGCCGCTTGCCCGATGAGAAGAGAGCTGAAGATCTGCTTCAACAATGTTTCTTGCGTCGGCAAACTCATCTTCAGTAACTTGATTCGTTAGAGCATTCTGTGCTCGTGCAGCGTTTCGGGTTACTGCAGGAGAGGTGAATATCACGTCGGGGTCACCAATATATAGAGATAATATATATTTGAGAAAAAGATGTTTCTCTTCAAACTTCTGAACAAAAACTCATTTTATTTTCACAACTTAATGTTTAAAAGAACAGTATCATTTGTTAAAATTATAAATTACATAGCAAGTGGATAAGCAGCAAGTATCGCTATAAGTTTAGGCCGGTTGCCACAACTTACATATACATATTTTTACATTTTTATGTCCAAAACCAATAACAAAATACACATGATTTATGTGTATGTAAATCGATGTTGTTGTTGTTGTACACGAATTTCCCAATAACTTTTATTGGGGAATAATGCTGGAGTGACCAGACCTTGGCCAGATATGAATCTGGGTCGTTCCGGTTACATGGACCCGACTGTCGTGGGAAATCGATATTGTCGGTGTCTGCGTTCAAAGTGCAAGGAAAAATGCTCGCTCGCTCGACCATTTTGTTTGCTTGCATGCGGCGAGCGGCGATATTCCGTGCATTTTCTCGATTGTACAACAGTCATCGAGCTCTATTTATCTCAGGCGCGCAGCAATGTTAGCAAGAACTGCCGACGCATATGTGGGTGCGGAGAGCGCCAGAAGGGTGGCAAACACACTAAACATAATTGAGCGCCAAAAACAGACATCGCGCGACGATTGAATCCAATTCAATCGATAGCCGATAAGACAACACAAAAGCACTTTTAATGGATAATGAAAAGCAAACTAAACAAATGGCGGCGGTGGCAGGCCTTTATCGTTATCGGGAGGCAATACTCGTGTTGTTGTTGTTGTTGCTGTTGTAACAGCATACAAATTCCCTAAAGGGATATTGGGGAATGAGGTGGGAATTTATAAAAATGTCTAGATCAGTGTTGCCAGAACTTTTGGGACGAACCGGCTAAATTGGCAAATAAAACCGCCTAAAAACGGCCAAAATGTTTCAACTAAATTTCACATGTTTTATTTAAATAAATCATGATTAAAAATACTATTTCCTTGAGAGAAATTACAAGTTCGAGCCGGAAAAACATATGATTGTGGCACATGGGTGGACTTTTTTTCGACGGTAATTTGAATACACAAGTTCGTTAAATTTAAAAATTTACAAACTGGAGCTATTTTAAAATTAAAAATTTAAGTTAATACTTGTTTACTTAATTAATTTAGTTAATTCCAATGATTTGAAAGGTACTCGGCAAAAAAAAAAAACTGTATTCTTAATTGGAATGCAATCTCAACCAGAGTCGATATAGTAAACCCGACAAAGAAATTCAAACGTATGTTGAAGAAAGTCGGACTGACAAGATATATACACGTAGATCCTGTTTTCTGCCCTTCTGAAAGATTTTTAAAAATTCTATACAAATTTCTTTTGTTTGAACTGCAACCATGGACATTAGCTGGCAAAAAAACTTGCAAATTTGCGTTCGTACAGAAAATTGCAAGTTTCTCCACATGAGAGAGAATTTGGGAGCATTTTTTCTTACTATCTGATATTTTTAGTGATAATTCTCGCTGGATTTTCGACGAACAAACCTATTGTCTTCCCTACAAGGCCTTTTCAGACTGACCGATTCTCAATACACTCAAATAGAAACCAATACACATAAAACACGCTGTAAAAATTTCAATTTTAAGGCAGTAAAACAACAACCTTAAGTTAACATCAACCGAGGCCATATGTTGACAAGGGATGCAAAATCACAGTTACACAAAAGAACTGGTCAGATTTTTCAGAACTCCCTTCAATTCTGATGTAAAATATGATGCCAAAAGACTGCAGATCTCCCATTTAGATGACCGGTCATATGACCGGCAGCCGTCTCCTAGGATTCCCAGAGAGTCTTGCTTTACATAGAAATTTGTGCTCTTTTATTTTCATTTTGACTCACTTCAGTGTTGGTTCCTTTAATTGAAGTTGGCATTCGGGTTTTGGAATTTAAATAAGTTCTCAGCAAAAAAGTTTGTTTAAAAAAAATACATATGTGTACATAGTGCTTGAAAATATCAATTTTCCCCTTACGTTAAACCTTTGGGAGTGGGCAAAAATGATGTTTTGTAATTTAGGCAGAATTGAATATGCGCTATCTGGGAAAACAATATCTACATGTAATATTTATTCTGTTTGTTGGCACTATATCCAAACAAAAACCCATGATACAATTTCTTATTTTCTAAGTTTGCGAATAAAACTTCACACTTAAAATTAAGACATTTATAACAAACATTTTATGAAGAAAATCCCTTCTTCGTTTAAAATAAAAATAAGCGAAATCGGACCAATTTCATACAACCCTGCCTGACATGAAAATTTTCTCCACGATAAGGCTAGTAGCCATTTCTAACAGATTTTGGGTCGCTTAGTCAAAAATAGAAACATATATATATATTTGAAATTTAAGAAAACAAGGCAAATAACAAAATCGGCCAGAAACGGCTAATTTTTTTCTGCAAAACGGCTAACAAATCGGCTGCCGGCTAAATTGAAATTTCTCCGGCTGTTTGCTATCGCAACCGGCTAAATCTAGCCGGAAAACGGCTAAAATGGCAACACTGGTGCTGACTAATGTCATACCGCCGCTGTATTGTTGTGTTGTGTGTCTAGCTATTGCGTATCTGCACCAACCATGGTCGCTGTTTTGTTTTGACAATTCGCAAATATTTTGGGCAGGCAGCGCGTATGCCAGAGTGAGATGACAACCTATGCATTTGCTTTTGCTTGCCTAGCTATGCTGGGCGCCTGTTGTTTGGGAATCAGAATTCAAAATGTTTTGATATTCTTTTGAAACTTGCTTGCAGTGTTGCCCTGCACACAGGGCGGCAACACAACACGGCAGTTGGAAGCCACTCAGACAAAATAGTGGTGTTGCTGCGCGACAATGTAGCTGACAGGGAATAGTCATTTCCGCCGTGATGGTGGATGGTTGATAACAGTTAGAAAATTAACTGAAATGATATAAAAAATGCATGCCAGTAATTAATACCGAAATTCGCTGCACACGAAACTTCGGATACGTTCAAACAACAGCCACGCTGTTGTATTCCACTTTGTGCCAATGTGAAAATGTAACCTTTTGAAATACGAAACCGGAGGTTTCTTTTCTTTCCATAATAGTACAATCACATTGGAAAAGAAACCCAAATTTAGTTTTAACACTACCTTCCTATGTTGGTTGGCCCTTTGTGGCCAACGAATTTGCTCCGTGCGAATTATTTTAGTTTGACAGCAGTGGCGATAAAACTGTGAACATACCACGCGTAGCCCACATGACTGACATCCAGTGTTGCGTTTCACTGTGACTGTTCCGCAAC